TCTCACACTGTGGCAAGAATGTTTTGGTCATCAACATCAGTTAAACCAATAGCAATTATTTAGACTGAGGACCTGAACCACTTAATTGGGCAAAGAAAATGTATTCCATACTTTCAAGTCTTTCCCACAGGAAATCAATGCAGTTTTTAGGTCAGGGGTGATTAATCCATCACATATGCACATGTGGTACAGACAGAAGCTGTCTGGCATGCAGCAGAATGGGGAGGGAGTCAGGATCCAATCAGCAGATTGGGCAGGGAGCAAAAAAACCACTCAGGAAGACCTTAATATGTGGCATGCCTGCCAAGAGTTGGCAACCACTGGCTTAGGTTAAGGAAAATAATTCAATTGTAATGATAAAATGTTATTTTAGATAAAACCATTCAAAAAAGCATGTTGCCTTTCTTGCAAAATGAAGATTTCCCACCACTATCCCACTTACTGGAAAAGCTGTCAGAAGCAAAGAGGACATAACAAATGAGCAGGCAAGACAGTATATACAATGACTGATGATTCATCATTAGGGTAACAGCAGTTCTCTTACTCCTAAGGTACCTTCAATTTGAGGCTCAAAACTTTTATATAGGAGCAGCTAGCAGACAGTGAAATTATCACAAGAAAGGTTATCTTGATTAGTAGAATATCAAAATTATTATGGAGAGACAATTGTTAACATTTTTGGAGTGAAGAATAAAGAGCCATTAAGTCAACTGACTCTCTCAGCTGCTGCACTGTGGAACAGGAATCAAAGCAGGGTACTTCAATCCAATGCAGAATATCAGTTTCCCTGCTTAATAAACGCACCCTAATTGGGTGTGGAGGGGGAGGCGATTGATTCAGGGGTTGGGGGAAGGGGGTGGATTCTGTGTAATGTGTGAGAAAATATGGTAATGGCCTGGAACAAATTCCTTAAATCTGACTCCTGTGTTGCTCTTTTAAAGTATACCCAAACTCTATAAATTTATAAGCAAATAGAAGCAGTTGAAATGTTCTCCAGTCTATAGCGCTGCAACTCCATGATGTATTCTATATGAACTACAAGGCAGGAAAGAAGTTGTAAGGTAAAACAAAGAAACAAAAACTTAAAAAAAAGAAAGGTTAGTCAAATATTCTCAGGGA